GCTAAACTGTAAACTTAAAACTACAATGTGGATCAGACGCTAAACTGTAAACTTGAAACTACATTGTGGATCAAATGCTATACTGTAAACTTGAAACTACAATGTGGATCAGAACAGAAGCTAAACTTTAAACTGTTAACTAAAATGTGGATGAGACGCTATACTATAAACTTAAAACTACAATGTCCAGATAAAAAATTCCTTGCCCAGATGATGGAAACCTTTGTTTTGTCAAAATTGAACAGTTAGATCCTACAGAATTCTTATTTTAAAATATGAAAGGTCTTCGACATTAGTTTGCAAGTTTATATAAATTAGAAAATTATAATATGAGGCGAATAATCAGTTTATTATGAGAGACAAAAACTTTTTAACACAATGAAAATTTGCATTATTCTTTTTCAAATTTTTACATCCCTATATCGTTGCAACTTAATGGTGTAAAGCTTTGATATTTAAAACTTTAATTAAATGGGCGAACAGAAATCTTATTAAAAAATATTGAAGGTCTTCGACATTAGGTTGCAATGATATACAAATTAGAAAATTAAAATTTGAAACGACAATTCAGTGTGAAAGAAAACTTTTTTTGAACAATAAAAACAACTTGATTAAAATTAACTTGGTAAAAGAATATATATACAGGTTTACCCAGAACCCAGGAGACAACCAAAGAGTTTCTAAAATGTCGTCTTGACAACTTTTGAATGGGTTTTACCTGAATATTGCAGTAATTGTAAAATGAAAAATAGCCTCAGGAACAGGGCTTCATATAATTATTCAATTAAAAAACTATATCTTTAGCATTCCTTTTTCAGTATCTTTATAAGGCACATTTTATAAATTCTTTTAAAGTTTCGGAAGTTCTGGGTTGAGCTGTAATAAACACGATTTTAATAAAAAGTATGAAACCTTTGCGAAGTCTTCCTAGACGAAATATCACCGCTCTTTCATACTCTTGAACCACCTGACAATCAATCAATCAGGGAGTGACCAGCAATGTAAGATAGTTGAACTGAGGATGCAGTATTGCGGAGAAATTTTTTAGGGTTCATTTGAGACATATAAAACGTTTTAATGATGTAAAATTAATGAGTTTGAGCGCAAAGTCGACGTTCAAAATCATTTGTTTGGGTTGTAATGACGACGACGAAAAATGTAATAAAAAAATTACAGTAATCTAATTAGTTTTTTAGGAACAGGTTGAGAAAATAAAAACTAACTCTTATCATCGAAAATAAGGAATCTTATTCAGTTATTTGTATCATTAATGTCTCATTGTTCAAAACCATTTTCTGTAGATTTCCTGGAATTTTTAATGAAAAGAAGAAATTTGAAGAGTTTGAACAAATCTGCGAAAAAATTCATAAAGATTAAGAAAAAAAATATGATGCTGAAAAAGAAACAATTGATTCTAACAATGATTTATTGAAAAATTTCTAATGAGAAACTCAGTAATTACACATCATGAACACGTTTCATATATCTCAAATGAATCCTAAAAAATTTATCCACATACTACATTCTCAGTTCAACTACCAGACATTGCCGGTCACTCCCTTTAATCAATCATTAATCAATCAATGATTAATTTATCATTCAATCATTAATTAATCATTAATAAATTAATCAATCAACCATTTGATTAATCAATTCATCATTAATAAATAAATCAATTAGTCAATCAATCAATCAGTTATTTGCTCACTTCTTTTGGAAAATTATCTTTTAAAAAAATCTTGATTTTGATAAAAACATGTGTTTAAGTTTGATTTAAAAACAATTAACTCCAACATCGATGTTAAACTCAAAGTTTTAATTAAATTCTCTTGAGAGACTGATGATGGTTAAAGAAACTGCCAATGAAACTGCGAAAGGATCAAATTGAAAACGTTTTTTTTTTGAAATTGCAATTTTTCAAAAAACTTGCCCGTTTTGTCCTTTTTCGAGAAATAACGTGTTTATTTTTGTCTTTCAAAGGGATTTTCGACAAAATTTTAAGCAACCTTTTATTTATCGAGTGGCAAGTCTTATGATGATTAAGATATCCTTATTTTTACATATGAAAACTGGAGACTCAGGGTCACAGTCTACACTGTGTACTCCTGACCAGTGTACACTTGTGGTTTCCAGACACAAAATTTCCAGAAATAATTTCCTAGTATAGTATACAGGTTCCTAGTATAGTATACAGGTTCCTAGTATAGTATACAGGTTCCTAGTATAGTATACAGGTTCCTTCTTCCTAGTATAGTTTACAGGTTCCTAGTATAGTATACAGGTTCCTAGTTTAGTATACAGGTTCCTAGTATAGTATACAGGTTCCTAGTAGAGTATACAGGTTCATAGTATAGTATACAGGCTCCTAGTATAGTATACAGGTTACTAGTATAGTATACAGGTTCCTAGTATAGTATACAGGTTCCTTCTTCCTAGTATAGTATACAGGTTCCGTCTTTCAGACGTTTTTTTCATTAAAAAAAAAGATTTGTGGGATTTTCTTGGAACTAATAATATGTTTACCTGGCAGCTTACTGATCGGATTAAAAACCTTTCATTTATATTTATATATTATTAGGCTTTCAGGGCGCTTCACGCCCATAATCTATTTCAATTGTGAACATATTTTCTTTGAAAACATTGTAAAACAAAAACAAAAAATCCCGGATTTTTCAAAAAATTTGTGGATTTTCGAAATTGATTGACAATCCAATTTTCTTGAGGCTAATTTTTGTAATTTTTATTATTCATAAACCTTCCCTTGGATTCTGTGAGGTCCCACACAAAACTTGGACCCGATCGGCTCAGCCGTTTTGACGTATATTGGATACAGACAGACAAATAGAAAAACACAAATAGCAAAGTATACACTAGAGATAGATTTATACACATTTATATATATTTACATATATTTATA